TGATTACACAGCAAAACATATACAGGCGAGCTGTCACAATAACGTGGCTGAAATATGTTGATCAAACCACACGCTAGAAAGTGAAGGGACGATGACGTTTTGGTCCGTCCTGGACCATTCTCAAGTCGATTATGACTGGACCATTCTCAAGTCACAATTGACTTGAGAATGGTCCAGGACGGACCAAAACGTCATCGTCCCTTCACTTTCTAGTGTGTAGTTTGGTCAACAAAACATATACAGTATACGTACCGAGTTAGTTGATTTGCTTGTCACAAAATAAACTCGATACGACTCCCAAAGTAATGCCTTGCCATTTCATACTGATAAAATGAGTTCACAGTCATGGACATGAATTCATTGAGGAGCCTGCTAGTAAAATTGGAAAATGGTCATCCTGGAGCAGAGATGCCAAATAATCCAAGAAATACAAATAAAGCTTTTATGCATAGCATTTACTGAATTAGTGACTTATATGAAGCAGACATATAATGAATTTAGAGGCAGTCTCATCGTTCATATTAGCAAAGTTAACAAAAACAGATGCCAGTCATATAGAGCAACTTTGAGGAGGAGTTGCATGTGAAGAGCTTTCTCATATGGCTTGGTTGAAGAAAATATTACTTGCCCACCTAACATTTGTGCAAGAGATTAATAAGGATGTTATGTTTTACTTGCCTTTACTAAAGAAAACTGCAGATGCACTGAAAAACTGTAATGAAAATTACCATAAGAAAACCTGTTTTTATGCCTGGAATATCACGGTCATAAGTTAAGAAGCCAAAAAGAATATGAAGAGACATGCTTTCCAGTGACAATATACACCTTACAGGGGGACCAATCAACAAGAAATCTAAAGTGAACACTACCAGGCTCACTCACCACCCTTGTCAACATGACAGTACTGTAAATGGTCCTATCCTTCATAATACATACTGTCGATGGTCCTATCCCTCACAATACATACTGTGGCAAGTGCATCAAAACAATGCGTGAGTGGGGGTATTGTTTAATCCTTATTACGACAATGATTCCAATCTACCACCTTGCAAGGAAAAAGCAACTATTTCCGGAATAAAATTACATGCTGTAAATGCTGCCCAGAATGGGTGCAAACGAGTAATGATACGTACTGCCGCCACCACCGACTTACTCGTGTTGACAATAACTTTCTTCGAGTGAGCACTCCATGCAGTCGGATAAGATAGTCTGTCATCATCAGTAAGAGAGAAGAGTCGGCACGAGATGTGTGTGAAATGTATCTGAAGATGTTACTGCTGCATTCCCTGCCCTCTCACACAATCGAGATGCACTTGAACAGGACAAAATGCTCATGCTGGAACACTTTATATTTCTCTTGCATGACCATACTAATGACCTGCAAAAGGTCAATGAAGCTAGAAAGCATTTTTCATTCAAAAGGAAAAGCAATGCTATGTTACCAACTGAAAATGCTGTTGTACAGCTTACCAGTACAGGTATTTGGATATCTTTGAAAATGATCAGAGTAGCCGATAAATCAACCCGTCCTCCCATCTATTAAAGTTCATTTTAATGAACGCAACCATTCTGTTAACATTAAAGCACTGTAATATGCATCTTTAGTATGCATCCATCTTGGTAGGTCAGGTGTGTTTCTCAGGTTTGTATGTTTCTGGTTAGGCAAAACAATTGCATTTTTTATGGTGTGACAAATCGGGAGAATGGGCTGGAAGCCCAAATTGATCTTTCATTATACTTAATCAACAGAATGATAAAAGTTTGTGCCCAAAGCCTTGTTTAGTGCAATATTACTTATATTTGTAAAGTATTACTTATATTACAAATAAGTAATACTGTTGGGACAAGTTTTGAGACATGACCAGGATTTATCAACCATTTTCAGTATTTACTTGTAAAACCAGCACATCTTTTTTTAATCATGGTGGCCTACTTTCCTTTAATTAAACAGCCTATAAGCTCCAATGCACTACGAGGTTGCTCTTAATAATACTAGCCTTGCATGGAAGTTTCAAAGATCATAAGCTGTTTAATAAATACAGACTAAGTGGCCTTGATCGAAGAAAGCCATACAGCTTTCCTAAGTGGGCATGTACGTGGTTGATGAATCACAGACTTTTTCTTCTCTGATTATTGTGAAAGATCAACAGAGTATTTGAATCAACCTGTCCGTTCACAAAGAACATCGCATTTCCATCGCATGAGTTAATCGAGGCCAAAAATTGTCGAACTAAAAAATGGAAGCGGCTTGCAAAAGCAACTATCTGTCATTTTCTGTTTTGGGTCCTCTGCTAGGTTAGGTGAGGACACTTTAATTTGACTGTTTTCTTGACGGTGGGAAACCTTAGGAAGACAGACCGATTTGAATAGCCACTCTGGATAATGCTTGCAAGGGCATTGAATAATATGCAAGGATCCACCACAATGTTTAAGATGGCAGGTCAAAGAAATTTAATGTTTCTATGATGGTGCACATCTATAATTCATGTGGAAAACATGAATTGCATCCACTTTGTTAATGTGGAAAGTACTTATTGACAATGAGGAATAGTAGTAAACTAAACTACCAATACTCGGTAAACTTGAGGAAATCTTCCATGCATGAGCACATAGTGGATACATGCCCCATGGGCATGATAATAATATTGTAAGTTGGCATATTTATGCATTGTGAAGCAAAACCAATATACATTTCTAATTACACGCAGAAATCACAATTGCGTGATGCATCAAATGAACAAATCCACAAGGGCCGTGACGAGTATTCGAACCTGCGTTCGAGAGCATCCCAGACGCTGCCTTAATCGACTGAGCTACGACATGGTCAAAAGGAGTTTGAAACCAAAGTTCTACTGAACTTACTGGATCCTGCAGCCTCCTGCAGCCTCTCCGAGGCACAAACCAGGCTCTGAGGCCTGGTTTGTGCCTCGGAGAGGCTGCAGGATCCAGTAAGTTCAGTAGAACTTCGGTTTCAACTCCTTTTGACCATGTCGTAGCTCAGTCGATTAAGGCAGCGTCTGGGATGCTCTCGGAAGCAGGTTCGAATCCTCGTCACGGCCCTTGTGGATTTGTACATTTCTAATCATTGTTATTATGCATGTGATTTGCATTTTGGATCACTAGCAGCATTAAAATATAGTTAAACCCAAAATGTGTGTAGTTATGTACCCTAAACCTAAGCAGAAAATAATAGAATCCTTAGAGTTTACAGGGGTCAACGTTTGAACCTATGTGAGCTTGATAGGGAATGAAAGTCATCTGTAAGGGGGATGAAAGACCATCCGCCAAAACTAAGTCATATTTTCTTCCTCACTTCATCATTAAATAATTGGCCCATCCATACTTAAAGAGATGGAAGGGCCCAACAACAGACAACAGTCGGCAACAAAATTCAGTACTGTAATGTGAAGTTCAATTTGGCTTGAATAGTGAAGCACTTAAACCTGAATGTAATTGGGCTTCTTGTCTGCCAGAAACTGTGGAAACCAGAGTATTTGTTCTGTATAATTTTTTTAAACTGAATTCCCATTTGGGTTAAAAGGTCCCCCCCCCCCCAAAAAAAGGCGTTGAATGTAATGAAACACCATTTTCTGGGCGAGGCTCAGTAGCTCCCTGAAGTTACTATACTGATATAGTGCCAGACTACAAATTGACATCAGTCACAGAGTTCTATATGGTCTACAGGGGACCATGAGTCAGAACCTAGCCCCCCTCAGAGAGGCACTGGGAGCAGTGACATGTGTAAAAATAAGTTATGTAAATTTATTCATGTCTGCCACCACCAAGGGAAGGCACTTAGAAAATGAGTGAAACACTTACTCGGGACCTGCCCACCGGGAAAGGAAGAGGTGGTGTAGATGGAACCTCGGTAGAGTTAACCAACACCTTCAAATTCAAGTCCCTAAGATCACCAGCTTACCTGAAGGGCGAGGGTCATCACAAGCGAAGAGACCCCTCTAAGGGACTAACCCCGAACACTCCCGGGAAGATAACCCTGACAGTGCAAGGCAGCACTTAAGGAGCACAAGGACAGTAACCAAGCACAAGCAACTTCAAGCACACTAAACTCGTGGCTCACTCATGCTGCACAACCGTGCACAGGAAAAGCTGCAAAGGCAAAACACCACTTTGCCAAAGGCAGCAGACTGGAACCAGAGCAAACCGAGAGGTCAACCAGACGTGTACACATTAAAATAAGAACTGTTGGTGGAGCAGCCGACTGATTCAGTCTTCCTCCCTCCTCCACCCCCCAAACCAGGGGGGAAAGTGAGTTGAACTAGCTCGTGCTAGTGTCATAAATTTTTTATCAGTTGTTTACATAGTTGGAAAGTTCTTTTGGCTGTTTTGAAGCTGCTGTCTCATGTCTAACCAAGTAGTAATCTGTTTTGTTTCTCTGATTTTCTGGGTGCCTTCCCTAAGTGATGGCGGCAGACAATTCAATTTACATAAAAACTTTTATGTGCCACTGCTGCCTGCACCTCTCTGAGGGAGCCAGGTTCTGGCTCATAGTCCCAGGTAGGCACAATAGAACTCCACAACTAATGACACCTTGTAGTCTAGCACTATCAGAATAGTAGCTTCAGGAAGCCACAAGGGGCTTCCCCCAGAAAAAGTAAAAATTATGAATGAAAATGTGAATTCATTCAGATTACTCAGAGTTACCGTATTCCAAATTACTAAGCTTTAATTACAAATTACAAAATATATACAACTTTGTACAGTATAATACTTTTCTGTGACCTGTACATAATTAGTAAGTAATCTTAGCATGTTTTAGGCTTTAATAGAAAAAAATTATTATTTGGCAACTCACCATTATTGCTAATTAAATATTTCATTATCATCATCCATTTTTTTTGTACTCAAACATGACTGACTGAAAAAAAAAGGCAGCATTGACCTCTCTCTTCTAACGAAAGCTCAAAATATAGATAATAATCTACGCTATCTAATGGTGATAGCGTAGATTATCATCTTGAAGAAAATCAAGACATTCTCACCCAAAATATAGAGATCCAGAGCCCCTTTAAACATTCGCGGGAGAGAATATTCGAGCATGGCCACAAAATCTTCCATTTCTTCAGTGACCCCAACAAGGAAGTAATTGTGTACTAAGTTATGCTTAGCAAGTTCCAGGGCCCAACTTGAACCTGGTATCCTGTTAGAAAAATGACAATGTAAATGATCACAATGTGAAATGTAAGTCTGTTCCTAAAATTAGCCAGGTCAAAAGGGCATGATGTAATGATCAAAACATTGTTCATATAAGTTGACCAAACCACACACTAGAAAGTGAAGGGACGACGACGTTTCGGTCCGTCCGGAAACCGAAATGGTCGTCGTCGCTTCACTTTCTAGTGTGTGGTTTGGTCAACATATTTCAGCCACATTATTGTGACTCCTCGTCTGCATTGTTCATATACAGTAACAGTCTTTTAAGTAATAGGGATGATGTTAGAGAATGATCCTACTTTGAGGAATTCCATGAATAAAATTACAAGTAAAGCACCAATAGGATAACCAATTTTTATACCAAACTGTTGACAGAATTTAGAGCCAAAGCAGAAGTAATAGTAATGTAGTGTAAATCATATAGAAATACAGCTTTTATTTACATTTTTATACAAAATTTAAATTATTCTATTAATATAAAAAGCTGTTTATTACAGAAATAAACAGCTTTTCATGTTATTAAAAATTTCATAATTTCAGGCATAGATCTACACCAACCAGCAAATTTACCAATCAGTCCTCTCATCGAATACATCACAATTTTGAAAAGAACCAACCACCATGTTAAAAACATGATGCACTGTACTGTATTAGTAGTAATAATTAACTGTGATAAGTTTGAGTTAGGGGGTTTTTGCTTGAGTTTATACAATTCTAGTTAGGCACAAAAGTTGGATTTTTTTTTTACGTAGAGAGTAAATAGGCAAATACGTAGAGAGAACAAGCTGCATTTAGACATTTAAACGTTATCACGTTGCTATGACTATGAAACTTGCCAGCACTCAGCGTGATGACCACAGAAGAATGGAATTTGCATCCATAGATGATTAGTTGAGCAATCTGGATGCTGCAAGGCTACACATTCATCTAACGTCTGAAAATGTCAAAATACAGTACAGTATGTGGGTGATATATATTTTACACGTAAATTATATGTATGTTGCCTATAATTCAATAACATATTTAACAATGAGGCTCACTTAACCCCTTGTTTACTGAAATACTGGAACTAAATACAAAAAATTTTCCTCCACGTGATATTAAGTTATAATTATTGATTTGTCTTTAATTATTAAGGGAAATTATAGTTTTACATTTTAAAAAATGTTGACAAATGGTACAGTTTTGCCCTAATGTTTGCTTGGTGCATTAGCAAACTTGTGCTCTGAAGATGATAGTAATGCCACAACTGCCTATATACATCCAAGTGTGGTTTTGAACTACATACACTTCGAAACTATAACGTAACCTCCAAAATCCAGACTACTGTATATCATTTTAGACTCAATAATTCCAATTCACAAATGATCCAGAATTCCAGTGTGACCCCAAAACCATATACGTAAATCACTAATGCCAAATAATATTTAAAAGTCTATTTTGTGCACAAAGTTGACTAATATGCACACCATCTTCTACCTTAACACTGTACATTATCATCGTTATTGGTTTTCGGAAAATCTAAGATTGACCTAATATTCTCTTCTCGCCTCTCGGTAAAGTCATCTCCGGATGTTCAGAAAATCTGGCACCAATTTAAATCTGCTTTTGTTGGGCATTTTGGAATTTTTTTGTTGGCCGAATGGTAACTCTTAATATGCCTCCAATCACAATTTAAATGATTTTTGTAGACGGACATAACAAGAAATAGTAAGGGGCCTTGGGAAAGCCATTGTGCATATATAAAACCAAATTCTAAGATTCAATATAATTTTGAGATTCCCTGCTTTTCCTTAACTGACACGAATCCTTTCTCCTTTGAAAATGAGATTTCAAAGCACAAAAGTTACGTGGAAAAATATGCTAGATGTAGATGAATCTCTTTACAGGTTCTTTTGGTAGTTGTCCTTCATATTACAGGTTGAAATTAAAATTTCACTCGGTGAAATCAGCCCCATAAAGCATAGGAAACATTAGTGTATGAATAGTAACTCTTAATATGGCTCCAATTAAGTTTTCGATGATTTTTGTAGATGGACTCAACATTACAAGAAATAGTTGGAGTTTTGGGAAAGTATATTGAGGATATTTAAAACAAAATTTTATGGTTTGTTTTTATTTAGCGTTAGCAAGATTTTTGTTCACTCAGGTATGGATGGCCCTGCTATAATTTGGAAATGAGTTTTGAGGCTGGGGATGTGAGAAATAAACTAGACGTAGTTAAATTTCTTTGCAGACATGTTCATTTGGTAGCTGACTATTATATTATAGGTTGAAATGAAAATTTTGCCAAGTTTAAATTACCCCATAGGGTATGGAATATGGATTCTGAAGGCATTTCCAGTTGCAACGAATCCTTCACTGCAACAAATTGGGGCTGGTCCAATGTAGTTCATTGAATTGAGGTTGTATTGAATGTTATAAACAGGCCTGCAATATTGGAGATTTCACTCTGACACTGTACTAACATGGCAAATATTCACAACAAGAAACTTATACAGTAACATCAATGTGTTACTGGTAAATATACATGACTAAGAGAAACTTGTGTACAGCAGTATCAACATGATACTGGTATTAATGCACAACGAAGAGAAACTTACCATTTTATGTTGACCAAACCACAAACTAAAAGATGAAAAGATGACAACGTTTCAGTCCATCCTGGATCATTATCAAGTCGATAGTGATGAGACGAGGGAGGCACAGTCATAAGTAAGGCAAGAGAGGGGTAGAAGAGGAGGAAATCTTAGAGGAAGGTAAAAGCTTCTTCAGCCACATTATTGCGACTCATCATCTGCTTACCATTTTATCACCCATCTTCTTATAAACGCGTTGTGGCTTAATGTCATCACCATATCGGATGAAGTAATAGTGGGACACTAGACGTTCGAGAGGATTTCTTATGATGTTGATGTATAGTGGTTGGACATTTACACCAAACCTGTTTTCAGTACAACAAATTTTATATTTCTCTTACATGTTAATATATAATGTAACCTACACAATGAAGTCACAAAAATGTGATGCATCTATGAGAAGACATTGAAGCCATATGATGGGATCGAACCAGTATCCCTAAACTCGGAATAGGTGTAGCTAGAACCGCCCAAGCTCATCCCCCCAACTGATTAAGCATACATCATGAACTGTTGCTTCGTCTGCCATTATACAAAATATTCAACGTTGGTCTGTAAACAACAGGACCTGTCTTGTTTACCGCTGCTCAAGACAAGTGGCTTATAGCTGCAAATATATTTTAAGTTTTAGTTATTAGGTAATTCTAAGGAGCTCTTGGAAGCAGCTCCTTCCCTTGAAAATTGAAGTACAAGTCGATCTTATTTTCATGTCACAATGAACTTATATTTATTTAGTCTCCATTCTTCACTACAGGACTACATTAAAGCTATGTGGTTATAATTACATTTAATTTTAATTATCATTATTATTACCTAATTCTAGATTCTTACTAGATGCTTAACAAAGTCTGGAGAAGTTGATTCAATTTTTGGTAGAGAATTTCCACATTCCAGTTGGTATTGTATGTGGCCGAGGAATTCAGTGATGTGAGTCTGACCACATCATACAGCTTTAATGTTCTCATATAATGTAATCTTATATTGGTAAAAGTAATTAGTAGCATTTTAAATACATATACAGTGGAACCTCGGCTTACGAATGCCCATATTTACAAATTTTTCAGGTTATGTGCTCAATTTATTTGCAAAATTCGATTCGGTTTATGAGTGTTGCCTCGAGTTGCGAGTTTATTGATACATGTATGGGTCGACTGAGCACGTGGTTCCTGGTAGAAAGGGCGACCGCGCCTCAGTTTAACAGTGCCTCCCACATAGTGATGATCACGCTTGAATTCTTTGTAAACAATTTAATTATTTTTCAGCTTTTTTGGTTTTTAAACATAAACGTAATTATTACATACCACATCATGGGTCTCAATAAAGTCAGTGGTAAGGTTTAACCTATGAAAACACGTGTGAGGATGCCCAGAGTAAAAATAAGTCTATGGAAAGGTTCTTAGTGAGACAAACAAGCAGTGAGCCACAACCAGATCCGAGTGGAATGCAGGCAAAACGTAGGAGAATACCCCAGAGAAGTCATCACTGCCTGATGTTATAATGGAAGGGAACGCCCCTTCCAACCACTAATACCTCTCCTCCTTTCCCCCCTCCTCACCGTCTTCCATATACTGTATATATATATATATATATATATATATATATATATATATATATATATATATATATATATATATATATATTTTTTTTTTGAGATATATACAAGTTGTTACATTCTTGTACAACCACTAGTACGCGTAGCGTTTCAGGCAGGTCCCTGGAATACGATCCCCGCCGCGAAGAATTGTTGTTACAACTAAGTACTCATTTTACTGTTGAGTTAAAGAGTCTACAGTTAAGGATTTGCGCCCAGTAAATCCTCCCCGGCCAGGATACGAACCCATGACAAAGCGGTCGCGGAATGTCAGGCAAGTGTCTTACCACTACTCCATGGAGACTGGTAATATGCCAACAAGAGTCATCAATAAAGTTAAGCTACAATTTGTACATACAGTACTACACTGTTTAATAAAAAATATGTGTTTATTATGTATGAAATGTATTTTGAAGTTAATATTTTTGGGAGTGTGGAACAAATTCAATTTACATTATTTCTTACGGGAAAATTTGTTTCGGGTTACAAGCCGTCTCTGGGAACAGATTAAATTCGTAAACGAAGGTATCACTGTATATACTGTACTATAAACAATAACCCATTGCAAAAATCCAACTGAATAATTAACTGACCTATTGAAATCCAAGTATGCAATATGACCATGATATATTCCAGGTTTCTTCTCTTCCCAGTTTGAAATATTATAGACAAGCCGCATCTGTAGAGGATGTTAATGCTGTAGAGTTAACTCCTAAATTAGTTTACCCGAGAAATCAAAATAAGACATCTGGTCAACAGGAAAAGCTTTTTTTCCGAGCAAATGCTGAAGAGTACAGTACAGAAAATACCGTACTCAAAACTAAATCAAAATCAAAGTCCGATAACTTGTTAATATAGACATTTATGTTTAAAGTTATTGATTGGTTATTTGATAAATATGCCTAATGTGTTAAATATATATCATAAATAGAAGAAATATATTCTCCAAGGAATTTTAAGTATTTAAGTTGGGAGAAAATAAAGATTCAGCTATATTTTTACCTAAATTCATTTGTTTTCTTGATAGTAATTTTTATACAGTACATTCCTAAGAAAAAGAATGATCTTTCATACTTATTATTGATTATTATAATAGTACTCATTAAGGTGACCAAATATAAATGTTTATAATAATAATTCATAACTCATTGTGTCGTGGATAGGAAGCCAGAGTGTATTCATACATGGTAGACTTATATCGAGGGGCCCCCCCCCAAAGGTCGAATTACTGACCCCGCCCAGGATGCAACCCCGACAACAAGCCGACGAACTCCTGGGTACCTACTTACTGCTAGGTGAATTGACGCATTAGGTGAAAGGAAACGTGCCAGACCAGGATTTGAACCTGGAATTCTCGTTTGTGCGTCGAGAACGAACCCGAATGTACTTTCAGGACCTATTTGTTTTTTTAACAAAGGTGGTACAAGTTTTTACCAAAAAATTCTAGGGGGGGGGGATGGTTGCTTAGAAATCCCATATTACTAAGATTTGACATCTCTCTGACAACTGTTACCTAATAAATAAAAACTCCCTTATTATTATACAAAACATAATTAAGAAAATTTTGGAGAACATAATGCCATCATGGCCAAAAATATTATGTAATAAAAGTATCCCTGGGACCAATTTTTTTTTTTTATTTTACTTTATTCACCCATATTTATTTATTTTCTGTGAATGTTTTCATGGATAATGAAAATTTTTGTTTAACCTTTTATCCAAATCTCAGGAACTGATATCAATAACAGAATTTAATCAATTTGCAATTCTGTATATCCAAGGGATGCATGTCGATTCTTTTTTTTAACTATTTTTAAGTCTCCTACAAAAGAAATCACAAGAATGTAATGGACGAGAAAATACTGAGGTATCTCCGAGATACTTTTGAGCTCATCATGGTCCAGCCGGTAATGTTTGTACCTGGGAAGTCCACAGATGCAATCCCATTGCATGACCTCAATATTTTCTCAAAACATATATATTTTCTTTCTAATATTTTAATAATTGCACATACTGATGACCAAGACTAAGATAATTACACACACTCATTTAAAAAGTGGAAAAACTGCAAAATATTGCCTAAATCGTTGATATTTGGTTTAAATCACATAAAGGAAAAAAAATTATAAACGTAGAGTTAACAATGAACATTATCATTCAAATTTACCTGATCTGTTAAAGACAGAGTTGGGGTCTTCTTTGTAGTGTTTACATTAATGACATTGAACTTGTTTTTAGAGCAGAGGTCATACGCCAAGCCAATAAATGACGTAGAGCCTGTCTTTGGGACCCGGTTGTAGATAACAATTAAGTTATCCAAGTCGAGACCTCTAACAATATTGTTGCTGCTGGTGAGGCCTCTTCTATCTTCATCGTTACTGCTGCTGCTACTACCCGCAAGTGCACTGCTCACTTGAAGTTCCAAGGCAGCTGCATGGAAAATAGCACAAATTGATGCTTAATAGTGGGGCAACCAAGAATTTGTAGGGAAAACTGCATGTAACATGTTGTTAAAATTTCCCATTTGCAGACATGTAATAAAAACACAATGGCTAGTTATGCATATGAATGTAAACTTCATTACCTCAGTTGCATTGGCTGGATAAGAATTAGAGCCAAAGTAAATAAAAGTATGAAAATTTTATATCTTGCAATTATAAATGGCAAAGAAAAAATTTACTCTACCTTAAAAAACTACAATCATGGTAGATTAGGTACTTTATCAGATAAGAAAGACAATTGGTGAATCAGCAATAACAGTAAGTCAGATTTCAGAGAAAACCAAGTGTCTTCCACACGAAAAGTATTCTAAGATCAAGAGTTCATTCACAGTAAACATTCAACACTAATCCATTTAAATACACCATTCATAGTGTACCTAATGTATACTTTCAGGAATTCTAAAACATTGAAAAAATACTGTTGGTAACAGTGGTAATGGAAATTATTGTAAAAACCTGCTGTAGTCTACATTCAAATATGTATCAAATCATGTTGCAGAAGACGATGACACGTTTGCCTTTCCACAGGAGACTTTCGGTGCTGAGGAGGGGGGGGGGGGACCTGCTGCATGGAGTAACAGCTTCTCCACCGTATCAACCTACCCTGGCTTTGCACCCTAGAGAGGCCACTCCAGACCGACAACCAGAGCGCAACTTCATAGTCTTCTGAGACTGATGGATGCCTACTAGATCCTTGAGTATCTCCTAAGGTTCTAGCCTCTTTCAATGACTTTGTTCAGCTTTAATGTTAGTAACTGTTCCTGGCATTAGCAAACTACATGTCTGTAATATTTCTTGTAAACTTTATTTATGATTGAATAGTGTGGATAGATTGTGTAAATATCTATAATCCTTGTACTATTCAATAACAATCATCCAGACACCATAAGTTGCTGATCCGAGTTGTGTGTAATTATCGAAGATGTGGCTAATATCTGGGATGTGTGTAATTATCAAAGTAATGATCCAAGATGTGTGTAATTACCAAAGTAATGATCCAAGATGTGTGTGTAATTACCAAAGTGTGCAGTAGTTACAGGGATGAAAGTCACATGGTGTGACTTTCTTGTAATGTCATGTGAAGTTTTTTGAAGCTTCTAATGATTTTTGGGATTTACTATATCATATAATTTATACCATCCATCCACCAGTCTTCAAAATTATAATTTTAGTTTTTTTCCAGTTGTTTTTGATTATGCAGACTTGAAAGATGATCCTTATAATTTTTTAAATTTGTTAATTTTGTGCACAGAAAATTTCTCGGTCTTCAGTACTCGTTTTGACATTTAATTTAATACCTATAGCCCCTCCTCGATGCCCTATATTTTATAAAGATGGCTTTGCACCCTTTATAGTGGAATGTATTTTCAAAGTATGAATGTCATACAACTGCATTCTAATTCACCTGTCATACAATTCTAAATTCCTATGACAATTGACAATTCTAAAACTGCCCAGAGGAGTGTAGGTGAAAGGGCAAGTAGGAAAACAGTGTTTAATATTTATTTACATGATAAACGGTACAAACACAGTTCTTATTTTTTCTTCCATCATCACACCCAACATCACTGCTCATACTCTGCATGCTTTCTGCTAATTACATACCATATTATAAGGCATATAACATGAATTTAATATAGGAATATGTTTCATGGAAAAGGCAGTTTTAGTACCTTTCTTCATACATTTATTGAAGAGATTTTCAAGTATATTTTGTAGGGGCGGGGAGGACATGATTATGTGCATGTAAATGCAATAGTGTGTATTCTCGGCTGGTGATGGAGAAAAACAAAGAATCCTACCCACTGCCAAATACCAGGCCATCCTCCCGTTTAGGTAGTACTTATACCAACATATATATACCCTGTACAGGTATTGACATAAAAGGCAACTAGAAAGTAGAAATTAATGCTGCTGAAGTTGGACAAACCGGCAAAGCTTTTGTACTGATGTGCAAAGAAAACCTAACCTAACCTAACCTTCCTAGGCTTAATACATAGTATTCGAGGCCTAATATAAGCATATACGTATGTTCTGTACTAGAACTAGTTCTTGAGGAATATTTAAGTTTGGTTTTAGCTTTATTATTTTAGGACTCAATAAAGTGAATACAGTAGTACCAGATTAACAAATCTCACTGTCCATTATGTCTGTGTGTACGATGGTCCACAGGTACAAAAAACCAGCGTTGAATGTAATGAAACGCCATTTTCTAGGTGAATCCCGGAGACTCCCCGGAGCTATCCCAGGCTGATATGCTAATGTCAGACTTTGGCATCAGTCATGTGTATGGAGTTCTTAGGCCTACCGGGGACCACGGCCAGAACCGGGCCCCCTCAGAGAGGCAAGGGGAGCAATGGCCTATAGAAGCCCCCGTGTGGTTGGAAGCATTCTATGTCTGCCATCGACCGGAACAGGCACCCAGAAAGGTAAGCGCCTCAAAACAAACCCCTATTCTGGTTAAAATTGCTACCAAAAGCCGAACTAGTGGATAGAACTCCCCAACCAAAAACAAGCAAACTAGTGTGACGTCACACACCGCCGCGCCGCTGTCTGTGCAGCTCCCCCCCTCCCCGGGAGGGGGAAGGGGGAGCCCCAGACCCCTCCACGCCGGCTACCCACACCTCAGTTCTTGAGGCTGGATGTCAAAAACGCGAAAAACTGCCGACCGGAGGGAGGGAGGGATGCCGGGGAGCCTCCGGGACTCACCCAGAAAATGGCGTTTCATTACATTCAACGCTGGTTTTCTGGGGGGAGCCCCGTCGGCTCCCCGGAGCTAACTACCCACAGACAGAAAAAAAGAGGGACTTACCCGGGAGGCGGTCGTCGCTCACTCCTCAACTCGAAGCCGAGACAACTGCTGCAACCGCCGACCCAAAGCAACACAGGCCCGACGAGGCCCAGGGACATTCACAAGGTAACGAGCAGCCAGGACCCTGTTCGACCGCCAAAATCCCCGCGCCCGAATATCAGACCAAGACATATTCCCAAAGACGGCAGCAAGAGCCGCGAACTTACGAACGTCATGGGCACGGGGATAGACCGCAGGCTGGCTGGACCTAATAACCCTGCGGACGACCTGGGAGACCCGAACCCGCGAACAGGGAAGAAGGGAAACCGGATCAACCCACAGCGCGTCCCCGGACACAGAAGCTGTGGCGCGCAAATAACGGCGAAGCGCCGCAACCGGACACAAAACATGATGCACCCCCGGCCTGACCAACCAAGCATCAACCACCCATGGACCCCTCCGGAACGCAGCAGTCTCATTCTTCGCCAAAAAAGAAGGAGACGGCTGCAAACGAACAAAACAATCACCACGACCAAAAGAGCAGAAACCCCTGCGCCGGAGGAGAGCATGAAGCTCCCCTACCCGACCCCCAGAGGCCAAAGCCTGTAACACTGTAAAAGTGTTTGGTTTAGTTTATTTAAAATATATATAGAGATATATGAGTCAGAGACAAGAATTTGGGAAGGCGCCAGTTGGTCGACCTGAGATCTCACACCTCTAAGAGTTAATGACCCCAAGTGACCTGAGGTCAGATCATGCGAATTTCACCTTGCTTCTGCTAATCTTATAATTGGAGCCTGGTAGCCTTCAAACATGCCGACGTTTAAGGAGTGGCTTGGTAGAGAGCCGGAGGCTATCTACTTGTGGGCGGAGTTAGCTACTAGGTTTCCCAATATACACTCGGAGAGCTATCGATTCGAGAGCATTAAGAGAACAACAGCAGTCAGGAGAGCAGAGAAGACGGCCCTAGCAGGGGGGGCTGTCGGCCGGCAGGGCGAGACAGTCTCTGTCAACTATAGACCCCCCCCCCCTCTATCCAGCTATAGGCAAACACTTGGTGAGTTGAACATTAAGGTGACTTGGTCGTGTTTTACAAGTGTTGTGTGATGATCAGGGGCAGTCAGTTGTAGTGTTCTCAGATTCTTGGAGGATGACTCACTTTACATATATATATCTTGAACATTGCTTGAATTATGATACTTAGTATGTGAAATATAATTGAATTTATTATTTAAATTGCCTTTGTGTCCCCTAGAGTTGAGTTGAGGTGAGAAGCCTCTGTGATTACTGGTTTCATGATTTAATGAGTACATGTTTGGAGTTGATACATGATAAAAATGGGACATACTAATAATGACCTTGATAACATCTTTTGAGAATTTTGTGATACAGACAAGTTCCATTCCTTGTCTTGTATGTAATGATCATGAATGGATGGTGGCAGCATTTCGTCTTCTACTATCTACTCTTCTACTTCTATCTACTTCTACCTATTTACACCTCTCCCTCCACTCCTCTCCAGACTCTCACTTTCAACTAATGACCCTCCTCGCTCCTCCCACCTCCCTACCTCTCACCCCAAACCCTCACTAATTACTTCACTATTCATTTCTTTCCTTTCGTTTTCTCTTATACGTTTGTGGCAATGATTCTGTATTCTAAAGTTCTCTCTAGGGTTTCGGGTAGCTGATCAAGTTACTGCGCCTTGTAGTTTTAGCACCTAGGTAGTCAAATACCTAGGTTACAAGGTGTTGAACGAGAGAGGCTGCCTTAGGAACTCTGGAGGTGCTCTAGAATAGTTAGCTAACTGGGGACGGGATAACGGACTAGAGAGAGCTGTTTCCCCCGGCCTCGTTAGTTAACTGGGGGGTGGAATAATGGACAAGATAGAGCTATTTCCCCCACCCCCCATTACAAGCCAACAAGAAAAGTGCCTTGGAAAAACAATCCTGGACCAAAGGGGCCACAACGAAACGAGGAGACGAAAGGAAAGCGAGCACTCTGTCCAAAGACCAGGACGGCTCAGGCGACGCATGAGCAGGCCGGAGGTGAAACAATGCACGAGACAGCTTGCGAAACGGCGCAGACGTAACATCGATACCGAAAGCAAGCTGAAGCGGCTCCACCAGCGCCGCACGATACGAAGCGACAGTGTTAGGCATAACATGACGGTCCTGAAACAATTTGAATAAAATGACAGAACCCCTCACCAGGCAAAAAGAAAAAGAAAAACAAAACCCCGCAAGAGGACAGCGAACCCCAAGGAACAGAGTCGGCCGCGATGTCGGGAAATACAAGCTGAGCAGCACCACACGCAAAGCACAGTGCAGTAGCGACACCGGAGCCAGAGCACACGACCATCGCCTATAGCATCAGCCTCAAGAACTGAGGTGTGAGTAGCCGGCGTGGGAGGTCTGGGGCTCCCCCTTCCCCCTCCCGGGGAGGGGGGGAGCTGCACAGACAGCGGCGCGGCGGTGTGTGACGTCACACTAGTTTGCTTGTTTTCGGTTGGGGAGTTCTATCCACTAGTTCGGCTTTTGGTAGCAATTTTAACCAGAATAGGGGTTTGTTTTGAGGCGCTTACCTTTCTGGGTGCCTGTTCCGGTCGATGGCAGACATAGAATGCTTCCAACCACACGGGGGCTTCTATAGGCCATTGCTCCCCTTGCCTCTCTGAGGGGGCCCGGTTCTGGCCGTGGTCCCCGGTAGGCCTAAGAACTCCATACACATGACTGATGCCAAAGTCTGACATTAGCATATCAGCCTGGGATAGCTCCGGGGAGCCGACGGGGCTCCCCCCAGAAAATGATATCTAAACAGGAGGATGGGATGCAAATACAATATACTGTACAGTACTTATAATAATCTTGAATATAATACAGTACTGGTGTAGATACAAAGGTATGATTAGCACAGAGCACTAGATTTGGTAATTTGATTTACGTAAAATATCAGTAATCAGAATTGTTAACTTACGATGAGAATGGATATAATTGCGTAAGTGACAAACTTCCTTCGCCAAGTGTATATACATCAGTATTACTACCGCACTCACTCCCACCATCAATAAGACAACCACACGGGAGGTCTGCAGGCGGGAACTTGTCATACTGCAAATTAAATGGAAGTCATGTTAATAATTTAATAGACAGGAGTAGAAAAAATAATACTGTGCAAGACAAAATATGGATGATCAAGGATTTTAATTGAATAGATGATTAGTTTATTTCTTCCAACTTCCAATGATAGGTTAAAGGACTTGTTGCATTAAATACAGTACAGTGTAGTGGATTATCGAGCACTCTGCCACAGTGACTCGAGGACTTTTACTATGGTAATTAAGTTAAAATTCTATTCAACAAAAAGCACATTACTTTATATACAGTACATTTTTGTGTCATCCACCTAACCGGTATTTTTTTAAGTAACTTTTTAATAATATAGAAAAACAACAAATCTTTTGTTGAATACTATTTTACTGTATGCATGTAGATATTGCCCTATTATGCTCTTGCATACTGCAAGAGCTGGACATTGAACAAATTACAATAAATCTGTTGGCCAAACCACACACTAGAAAGTAAAGGGAGGTCGACGTTTCGGTCCGTCCTGGACCATTCTCACAATCAATTTGAGAATGATCCAGGACGGATCCAAACGTCGTCGTCCCTTCAATTTCTAGTGTGTGGTTTGGTCAACATATTTCAGCCACATTATTGTGACTCCTTGTCTACAATAAATCTTAAATATGGCGGTGAAAAGGCTCAATTGCTTCACGCTCCACAAGGCATGTTCAAGACAACTTGAAAATGCCTCACTTGAGCCAAGGTATCTTTTGCAGGTTCCTCAATTCTTAAATCACTCGTTGAACCTGAATTACATATAACCCGACAAAGATAAAGCCTGAGTTTGGAAGGATTGAATCACTTCTGACATGCTGCATTCGCTATCTCTTGTGCCGGGAAATCCTGTTTTTGAATTGTATAACATGAACTATATAACTTCAGAACTGCCTAATAACTAACAATTTCATCATTTCCCTACCTATGCCTTATCAGCAGTTTGTCTTCACAAAAGTTCCTAGGATATGGTCAAATCTTACACAAATATTAACCAAACCACATCTCAGAAGATGGAAAAGCAAAGTTAGTTTATTTATATTTATACAAGAAGGTACATTGGGTATCAGAAAGTACATAGAATTGATGTTTTTACATTCTTGTAAGGCCACTAACACGCATACCATTTTGGGCAAGACCTTAACCTAACATAATTTTAAGCAGGTACAGCAATTTGTAGTGAAACTGATTTGGTCATCAAATCTAAAGTTGTTTGGTCATCATTTCTTCAGCCACGTTATTGCGACCATTGTCTGCTAATACAAATGTTTCGACACGGCTCATTTTCAAACTGCAAAAACCATGTACTCTACAGTAATGACTTACTTGCTTGTACTATAGAACATTAGTTAGGCTAGGTTGCAAGCAAGTCTTATATGACCGTACTCCATTTCTCAAGGCATCAGTTATATGCTTGCGTTATTAAAGACCGCTTAGCCTATCCAACACGGGTCAACTGGAGTAGGGTTAAAAATGGGCCAAAAAGGGTTGTGTTGTGGCATGTCATCGCTACTCTTTAAATCCTACCATAACAAAAATCAAGATACATTCATGTGTTGTATATATACTTCGTGAATGGTGGCCAATGTCATTGGCCTTCCTCCGGGGGAACCTTTTAATATACCACCATTGTAAGAGCTTGGTAATTTGGATTCCGGTAACCGAAACCTCATCGTAATCTGAACGAATTCACATTCCAGTTTTTGACTTCTTAAACTCAAAATTCAAGCCTAAAATGCAGCACTCAATAACATAACTAGCCTTAAAAATATAAAAAGTATATAAATTTATATATTATATATTATAATTATATATACAGTATAATTATAAATATATATATATATATATATAAATATATATATATATATATATATATATATATATATATATATATATATATATATATATATATATTATAATTATATATACAGTATATATATATTACAAAGATATTGTAATCAGAGCCTCTCTTAATTGTTTATTACAAATACAATAATCATTACATACATTGTCATTAATCTTGAAAAGGCCCCCTTGACTGGCAGCCGGCTTTCTGTCCCCGTCGAGGCTCACCAATGACGTGGTGCAGGTAAATCCAGGTAAAACAAAAGGAGTGTAATTCTGAAAAGCTTCGACACTATAGAAACCTCCTGTCATTAGTACGTCACTCTAAAAACTCTAGTTAGAGTGCCAGAGTGCCTAAATCCCCACGTTCCTAGCCGTGTCATTAACCGAGAGAGGAGGTATAGCTAGGAGTTAATGCTAGGAATGCTAGGAGTGTGTGTGTAGTCCCCTTCTTAAGGAGCTAGGAGCTGCGTCTAATCTTTCAGACTTTCCCTCCTCCTCCCCTAATGTCACTCACACGGGTGGTGGTCCAGACCCACCACAGCACCCTAAGGGTCGTGTGTGAGGTGTGAGGGGCTGTGAGGAGGGGCAGTGTGAGGTGGTAGAGACTGACCTGGTTGCGGAGGAGTCCGGACGGCCACCACGGCAAACATGGCCTCGCCGGGTACTAAGCCACCACTCTCAACACTCTTTATTTCTCTCTCTAATTCATCCTTCAGCTCTAAATACAATCATTTTACCCTTCTAAGTTCACAAATGGTGTTTATTCTAGATAATTTTGTGTATTTACGGTTCATTCAATTCGTTATATGGGATTATATATTGGTAATTCATGTTTTGAAAAACCCGCCCCTTGAAACCCCTGGCAATTCTGCTCCAGCTTTGGCCTATATAGGCCTACTGAGGGAACTCAAGGCCAATGGAGGTATACCAAGAGGTTTATCTTACGGTCTATATACACTCAGAGTTTACTTTACTATGTTCAAGGCTAAAACGCACATATTGGTTGGTCAGTAAGCTTGTGGTGACCTTAATAACCTTTCAAAGTCCATTTTGAATTTTTATCTCAAATTTCAATTAGAATAAATCATATAAACTTTAAATGGCATTATAGTTCCCGTTTTGACTGCTAGTTCCCTCTCTCCAATGTTTAAACAAAAAAATCCCCTACCGCCCACAGTATGGGTATATGTATGAGTATAATAAATGATGCAACAGCACAAATTTGTTCCAACTGTAATGGAGCATAGTAGTCTTGTCACTATAGTTCCAAGACTAGTAACTATGGTTACAAGTAGTTATAGTTGTAACTATAACTATAGAACGAGAGGTCTATAGTTACAAGTAGTTGTAGGAATTATAGTTACAAGTGGTGTCGTAACTATAGTTACTATCTCCAGCAAGTAATTATAGAAACTATAGTTACAAATGGTGTTATAAATATAGTTCCAAGACAACTATAGTGACTATCTCCTACAAGTAGTTATAGGAATTACAGTTACAAGCGGTGTTGTAACTATAGTTCCAAAACTACTATAGTGACTATCTCCTGCAAGTAGTTATAGGAACTATAGTTACAAGTGGTGTTGTAACTATAGTTCCAAGACTACTATAGTGACTGTCTCCTGCATGATCCCTGGCTCAAGTATGGAGAGAGAGACGGTGTAGTGTTAGATATATACCTCGCATCCTGACCTAGTTTAGGCTATAGCGTATTAGCATGCACCGCGGTGGCCTCCGGCAGATAGCTTACTGGGGTCAGACTGTCTGGAGCCTCCATATTGGCCAACCACCCGCCACTCCACATTACAGGGGCCACCCCTTATTCCACATCACAGGGGCCATCCGCCACTACACATCACAGCCGCCACCCCCTTGCCACCACTTCTGAATAAGCATCTTCAGCATATGGTACCCTCACCTGGAGAAGAACAAGGGCAACTAGAAAAGGTTCAAAGATATGCAACGAGGAACTGTCCGTGAGCTGAAGGGATTGAGTAATGAGGTAATGAGGTTTGAGATCCTAAGAGAACAGGATCTCAAACACACGTAGGAGAGGAGATATAGGAGGGACGTGGACACGATAAGAACACATAAGATCCTAAGGAAAACTGACAAAGTAGACAAAGAATCAGTATTCAAAGCTAGGAACGGCAGAAATAGATGGAAAGTTGAGACGTAAATGAGTTACAAAGACGCCAAAAAGAAGCCAAGCTCGACCCTGCAAGCACACCTAGGTGAGTACATCACTGCCGCCACTCCACATGTCAGGCAACATATATACATAAGGCGAGCGTTTGCAGCTATGTGTTTATTTGCCACATCTCATTCTATTATCCTCGTCTTCTCCTTCCTCTGTGTGTGTGTGTGTTTGTGTGTGTACTCACCTAGTTGTGTTTGCGGGGGTTGAGCTCTGGCTCTTTGGTCTCGCCTTTCAACCGTCAATCAACAGGTGTACAAATTCCTGAGCCTATTGGGCTCTATCATATCTACACTTGAAACTGTGTATGGAGTCAGCCTCCACCACATCACCTCCTAATGCATTACATTTGTCAACCACTCTGACACTAAAAAAGTTCTTTCTAATATCTCTGTGGCTCATTTGGGCGCTCAGTTTCCACCTGTGTCCCCTAGTGCGTGTGCCCCTTGTGTTAAATAGCCTGTCTTTATCTACCCTATCAATTCCCTTGAGAATCTTGAATGTGGTGATCATGTCCCCCCTAACTCTTCTGTCTTCCAGCGAAGTGAGGTTTAATTCCCGAAGTCTCTCCTCGTAGCTCATACCTCTCAGCTCGGGTACTAGTCTGGTGGCAAACCTTTGAACCATTTCCAGTTTAGTCTTATCCTTGACTAGATATGGACTCCATGCTGGGGTTGCATACTCCAGGATTGGCCTGACATATGTGGTATACAAAGTTCTGAATGATTCTTTACACAAGTTTCTGAATGCCTTTCGTATGTTGGCCAGCCTGGCATATGCCGCTGATGTTATCCTCTGTATATGGGCTGCAGGAGACAGGTCTGGCGTGATATCAACTCCCAAGTCTTTTCCTTTCTCTGACTCCTGAAGAATTTCCTCTCCCAGATGATACCTTGTATTTGGCCTCCTGCTCCCTACACCTATCTTCATTACATTACATTTGGTCTGGTTAAACTCTAACAACCATTTGTTCGACCATTCCTACAGTGTGTGTGTGTGTGTGTGTGTGTGTGTGTGTGTGTGTGTGTGTGTGTGTGTGTGTGTGTGTGTGTGTGTGTGTGTGTGCGTGTGTGCCTGTGTGTACTCACCTAGTTGTGTTTGCGGGGGTTGAGCTCTGGCTCCTTGGTCCCGCCTCTCAACCGTCAATCAACAGGTGTACAGATTCCTGAGCCTATTGTGTGTGTGTGTGTGTGTGTGTGTGTGTGTGTGTGTGTGTGTGTGTGTGTGTGTGTGTGTGTGTGTGTGTGTGTGTGTGTGTGTGTGTGTGTGTACTCACCTAGTTGCACTCACTTAGTTGTGCTTGCCTGGGTTGAGCTCTGGCTCTTTGGTCCCGCCTTTCAACTGTCAATCAACTGGTTTACAGATTCATGTGTGTGTGTGTGTGTGTGTGTGTGTGTGTGTGTGTGTGTGTGTGTGTGTGTGTGTGTGTGTGTGTGTGTGTGTGTTCTTGAGGCTAATGCCGAAACGTGGAATAAATTGCAAAAGAATATACCTAAGTATACTTAGAGTATTCATATGCAACCTCTGTAATATGTGCTTATGAATATTTTATGAATAAAATTATTATTATACTTTGCCGTTTCTTCGTTCCTTAATATTGTTATTTTATTTATAAGATATATAAATGATTTGATTACATGAAATATATTTGTTTATTTTATAACACTGTTGTGTTCAATTACATTTATTATAGTACTATAATCTGTTTATTATAGTACTAGCAATAACCTTTACAAGCCTTGATATGTGAGAAATCATTGCAAGGGGCAAAACACAGATAGATGATCAAAAGTTATAAACAGTAGCAGGAAATAATCATATATATATAGTCTCACATGAGAGTTTAAACACCCTTAACACCAATAATATACGGGAGCACGAGGCTATGATGTGGATATACACATGCCGGGTAGATTGTATTGTTTAACCAGCCAGCCAGCAGCAGGAATGGCGATCACTGGGCGTGGGTGAGCACAAGCTTCTGGTCTGGCTAACGCACGCACGCACGCACGCAAACACACACACATACTAGTTGATGGGCAGTTGAGAGGCAGGACCAAAGAGCCGAAGCTCAACCCCCGCAAGCACAACTAGGTGAGGTGAGTACACATACATACACACATGTGTATGTGTGTGTATGCGGTGACTCCATACACAGTTCCAAATGTAGATATGATAGAGCCCAATTGGCTCTATTGGGAGGACAGGAGATAAACGGAATCATTTGTGACTCACAGAAAAGAGATTGTCTCCCTCTACTATCTTGATCACTTGAACCCTTCTTACCGTCACACTCGCACTGTACTGTGAGCTACCCCAGAATATGTGCCTAAGCCATATAACTTCACCGTTTTTTTTTTTTTTTTTTTTTTTTTTTTTTGAGATATATACAAGAGTTGTTACATTCTTGTACAGCCACTAGTACGCGTAGCGTTTCGGGCAAGACCTTAATCCTATGGTCCCTGGAATACGATCCCCTGCCGCGAAGAATCGTTTTTTCATCCAAGTACACATTTTACTGTTGCGTTAAACAGAGGCTACAGTTAAGGAATTGCGCCCAGTAAATCCTCCCCGGCCAGGATACGAACCCATGACATAGCGCTCGCGGAACGCCAGGCGAGTGTCTTACCACTACACCACGGAGACTGCAAAACTTCGTTGCCGTTGCCGCTGCCGCTGCCGTTGTAATCACTGCCATCATCTTATATCATGTTTGTTATGTTGAACGCAAATTGTACTGCAATGTACCTAGAAATAATCCTCAAATTTTGCTACAATGTATCTGTCAATAGTCTTCAAATTTTAATAAAAGGTACCTATTTATTTTCTTCAAGTTTTCTTACAATGTACCTGTTAACTTTTCTCAATTTGCTACAAATTACCTACTTAAAATTATGTGTTAGATTAAGAACCTGCCCGAAACACTTTGCATGTTACCATCATTTAGTTTGAGGTTGCTGCCTAAATGAAGTTGTGCCCAAGAATGTCAATAATAGAAAGCACGATACGTAATACCGAACAGGAAATAACTTGACATTAGCCAGCAAGGAAATGCTATATATCAGGGGATGCCGGGAATCTGAGATAATATAGTGCCTTAAAATGCAAATAAATTGATAGTGGGGGAATGTGTTAGAGAGCAAACATGCCAAAAGCAAATGATGCTGCTCAGTTTAATCGTCATATAAAGGCAATGTCTAAACTACAAGCTCTTATATGAACTTTATTATATTATATGGACAGTCAAAAGTAAACACATGACTTGATCTCGTTCAGGGAAGGCTGAGATACGATTGTTGTTGAAGTTTTGCATCCACTCAGGCGAGACCACGCAGGGAATGTGACACCAGCACCACTGCCCACGATAGGTAACGCGAGCACAATGAAGGGGGAGTAAAACACCCTCCCAGCCGGAGCCTTCCCAACGGGGGACAGTTGTAACATACGAGTCTTCTCAGTACTCAATCTTTCAAACCAAAATTCGTCACGGTTTTATTGAATATACGAGTATATTAATGAGTTATTGCACATGGTTGTTTTTGGCAATCAGTTTGCTAGAATGCTTCACTGTCAAGAGTTGTGCTTGATTAAGTTTAAGTGTTAGTTAGTTTAGAGCCGCATACTTTATGTCAAGATGTCATGACGTCAGATGTTTAATGGGATGTGAGCAGAGTGGGAGGGAGGAAGGGATGAAAAGGGAGAGAGAGAGAGAGAGAGAGGGAGGATAGGGGTATCACTTGGAGTCGAAGTAAGCGGAATTGGTACGTTTTTCAGTGTTAAGGGTGTTTGTTCACAGTCATTTACATATTTTTTTTAGTTCGGTATTCACTGTGCCATTTAGAATAAGATGGTTAGCATTAGAGAAAATAAAGGCTGTGTCATCAGCAACTAGTGGTGGTGTGCAGCATTTGATAAGTCATTGATGTAACTGGTCCACTCTTCTTTTCTCATTTACATCAATCGAAGCCAATTCTATTTACTAATGACACAACCTTCATTTTCTCAAATAATACCCCACTTATTCTGAATGACAGTAAATATGGAACAAAAAATAAGCCAATCTGTGCCTGACTGAACAAACTCGCCCTTATTGAAAAAAAGTATTATATATTGTCTGGAAACAAGTCCACCAATCAAATTAAACTAAGACTTAACACTAGCCAAATTAAGAGCAGAATAGATAGAAAATTCCTTCGTGTTCACATTGAGAACAAACTGGGAGCGTGTGCCTAAAGCCCACATGAGACGTCAATGACAGTCCTTGGTGACCCACCCGAAACGCTGCGCGTACTAGTGGCTTTACAGGAATGTAATTACTATGCTATGTATCCTCACAATCCCAATGTACCTTCTTTTATATATATATATAAAAGTACCTTCTTTTATATATATATATATATATATATATATATATATATATATATATATATATATATATATATATATATATATATATATCTATATAAGTAAATAAATAAACAAATAAATGACGAAACTACCGGTTGTACAAACTGGCTTACTAGTGGCTAAGAAAGCTATGCTGCAGACTAGCAATTCAGGAAAAGGCTTAGGACAATTAAAGACTTAAAACCATCTAAATTAGAAAATATAATTATAATACCTCTTTCCGGTATCTGACTTGATACCGGAATTGAGTGGAAACTTGCAGTTTCCACTCAATTGCCGAGTTCTAATACTTAGCAATAAAGAATTATTATATATATTTTGAGATATATACAAGAGTTGTTACATTCTTGTACAGCCACTAGTACGCGTAGCGTTTCGGGCAAGTCCTTAATCCTACGGTCCCTGGAATACGATCCCCTGCCGCGAAGAATCGTTTTTTCATCCAAGTACACATTTTACTGTTGCGTTAAACAGAGGCTACAGTTAAGGAATTGCGCCCAGTAAATCCTCCCCGGCCAGGATACGAACCCATGACATAGCGCTCGCGGAACGCCAGGCGAGTGTCTTACCACTACACCACGGAGACTACGTCCAGACATAGTGAAGTGTTATTAATTATTGGTGCAACATAAGCGCCTTATTCTTAACAATAAGGGATCGATGTACTCGGTCCATCAGGCTTCACTATTGATATCTGTCATGACTGGTAAAATGGCGTATCCTGCGCAGTGGCGCGCTCTTCCAATGAAACCGAGTTATTGCCACTAGCAGACGTCATGCGTATCTGGCTGGTATTTGCGTCGTGGCATGAACTCAAGGATTAGTGCAGCTAGTGTTGGCACCAGTAGTGTTGGGGAGCCTAATGGTATTGGGGCCAATGATGGGGGTTCAACACTCCCTGTCTCGCCTTCCTTGGAGAAAGAAGCACATGATATTCGCTGAAACCACCAACAGGTATGCCAATTGGACAAACTCGGTAATTATATATACATAAATACCACGGAGGATATATTTGATATTGATTCTATTGTTTGCAAACTCGCACACTACCTAATTGATGGGTTACCTTGAAGTAATTCCGAGGTGTAATTTCCCCGCGGTCCGGTCTCCAAACCTGGTTGAAGGAAGAGTTTGGACCAATCGGAAACCTGGTGGCTTAGTCACTATCCATTCCCACTATCTATCACAACAGCAGTCTATCACATTGACATTAGCAGTCACTATCCTTAGTTAATGTCATCAATAAAGTTGATATTGTTATCTAAGTTGATGACACTGGAGTAAAGAATATTGATGCTCTGCGGCTAACAGCCTGGTTGACAACCAGGAGGCCTGGTCCAACCCGTTCTCGCACTTTCTTATAGTCAATATTGACTTATTAAATACGTGCATATGTGACATACTAAACATACTAGTTTACCTTGAAAAGCTCCATAGAAAACACCGACTTTACCTAACCTTCTTAGCATGTTTAGATAAGCATCTTATTGCTTCGTAATTACAATTATTACTTAACCTATACCTATAATAGGTTAAGTAATAATTGTAATTAAAGCAATAAGATGCTTATCTTAACATACTAAGAAGGTTAGGTAAGGTAAGGCAACAACGAACTGCCTTAGGGGCAGTTCGTTGTTGCCTTCAACCTCATTCTGACAGTTCCTGCGACGGCGCTGGAACCAATCGTATTGCCGTTTGCCGATTCCATGGGAGACTTTCGGCGCCGTGGTGAGGGGGGACCTGCTGCATGGGTGACAGCTTCTCCCCCGAATCAACCTACCCTGGCTTTGCGCCCTGGAGAGGCCACTCCAGACCGACAACCAGAGCGCAACTCCATAGTCTCCTGAGACTGATGGCTGCCTACTACTAACCCACAGAATGTTTGACATTGCAGGAATGTTGACCAACGGGGCGTAGGAGCCGTGGGCGGGACGTGGGTGGTGTTATGGGTGGAGTGGGCTGGAGTACTGCTGGGTCTGCTGCCCCTGGGCGGCCCCCATGGACGCTGGTCGTTGACGAAGACGCTGCTGGCCCTTACCATGGCCCTCATCTTCCTCATCATGATCTTAATATTCGTAGTTCTGTTTGTCTGTAAGTATATACATATATATATGTGAGTAAGCTGCAGGAACACGCAACCCATAGACCACTAAAAACTCTAATTGACCCGGCCAGGATTCGAACCCATGCCGTCAAGCATCACCCCTAAACGTACACAGTACCTTGACCACCTGCAGCAGATGATAAGTGGTGCGGGGGTCACGGTACTGTGTACGTTTAGGGGCGATCCTGGACGGCATGGGTTCGAATCCTGGCCGGATCAATTAGAGTTCTAATTGATATATATATATATATATATATATATATATATATATATATATATATATATATATATATATATATATATATATATATATATATATATATATATATATATATATATATATATATATATATATATATATATATCCCATATTTACGGAGAAAAGCGCACACGAAGCATTGGAGTGGAATTTTAGGTCCCCCAATACATAAATATATATTGCAACCCCGTTACACAATGTTTCAACGTCTGCCTTTGCTTTCTTTAAGAAATATCTAAGCTTGGCAGTTGTCTTGAATTATCAACTTTTAATCTAACACAATGTAATTCTTATCACGACACATGAGTACATACTAATTTACTGTTTGTTCTTCTTGTTTCTAGGCATCACTTCGTTGCCTCTGATATTAATGGCACCATACACTCCTGTTTTCCTGGCTATTGATTTGGCGGGTATCGTCATGAGTGACATGGCGCCTGTCCTTGCGGGGATCATATTCTGGTGGAGGAGTCGAGCCTTGGTCACCTTGCTGCGGTCCTTAGAGGATCTCATGCTGCTTGAAGGATTCCAGTTGATGACCGGATCTTATCTGTTCAAGATGTTTATTATTCTTCTTTCACCGTTTTCTGATTTCATTATGAAGACTGTATGGTACGGTAATATATTTAAAAAGACTTCATCACACCCCGTGCTGAAACTGAGTATGGCCTACGGTATACCCGTTATGCCACTAGTGCTGAGCTTTCCACTGGTACTGTGCGTCACTGCTGAGCATGTACTCCGGAACGCTTTCATTTGCACCAACGGGTCCCTGGAGCGTCTGCTCTCATGCCAGGCGGGTATGGAGGATCACCCAACTACCCGCATAACCGGCCAGGGGATTATGAAGGATCACCTAACTACCCGTATAACCCGCCAGGCGGGTATGGAAGAAACCCCAGCATCTCTGCTTGACTCCACCTGCAAGCTCCGACATACATACATGAGGCTACATAGGATCCACCAAGAGTTTTCCAGTGCTTTGTCGGTCCTTCTGTTTCTCTCCAGCCTAGAGCGACTCGTGCTGCTCACCTTAATGATCATTTACATGATTGCTTATCCCCAATCCATCGCAACTGTCCATGAATACGTTGCTATATACATAAGAGCCATGTCTATCGTGGCTATCTTCTACCTTCAAGGCTACACGGCAGACTTGCTTCAGAAGGAGGTATATAAGATACTCGTTCTTTTAATAGCAAATAGAATTTGTCAGTGTTTTTAGACAGGTGATAAAATTCTTGATTATTTAGTATTAGCTTATTACTCTCATGAATGTAATAATGTAGAATAACTTGATGTATAAGAAACTTGGTGTATAAGTATTTTTTTTCTGTTTTTTTTTTCTCTTTATTGTTCTCCTCATCTTCCTTATCTACATAAACAGTGTTAACCTAAAGTTAGAACTTAAATTTATGGACGCAGTGTATAACTAAATTTTTAAAACCCTAATATAAAATTCTAAATTTAGGGTAGCAATGTACAAATTCAAATTAAAGGAGTCCTTTATAGCCCAGATTTAAGAACCCCAAATTTAAGGGGGCAATATATATATATATATATATATATATATATATATATATATATATGTATATTTGTATATATATATATATATATATATATATATATATATATATATATATATCTTCAAATTTAAGGGTTACAACCCTTATAAATTTAATTTACAACCAAGTCCTGATATCGATTGGCACCTTCAATCAACCGCAACCTTCACTTTTAACTCAGAACCGCATCATAAAACCAACAGCAGTCCACAAACCCAGCTATAATGCCTCAACCATGCAAAGAACCACACCTCCCACAACTACCTAAAAAAAAAACACGTTATCAGGTCACAACCTACAACTACCTCAATTACCACCCTCAGCTCACAACCCCCAACCCTTCAACCAATCACTAGTGAGACCCTAAGCTCTAAAACGTCTCTCGAACAACCAATCACAAGCTGACATTCTTACTGTATCTTCCCACCATTAGGCTGCGACTCCAGGGAGGATAGTACTCTACGTGGAGGCGATCAAGAGGAACAACAGAGATCAGCTAGAGATTAAAGCCGAGGCAAGTTGACCTGTTAGTTAGTAACTCGTACCTCACTCACATAGAGCACTCACCTAGGCGATTAGCTTCTGGATCATGATGATATTCCTTAATGTGCTGGCCAACGCCAACTACCTCACCCGCATCGTTACAGAGTGGTAACTCATCAATAACCAACTCCAACTACTACAATCATTTCAAACCATTTCGTCACATAGTCTGAAAACTGAAGTTATTCATTTTTTTTGTTTACATGCATCTCCATGTGGTATACTATGCACACATACACAAAATCTTGTTCCAGAGCTGAGGAGCACGAGCTACCAGGAAAGACTGTGTGTAGTATTCTCACAAGAGTTCTGTGGGTGTGAACATTGTTCTCACAAGAGTTCCGTATTTGTTAACCTTTGTGGCCGCCTGGTGACCTGGCGGCCTCACTAGCTGGCTATAAGTGTTAACTTTATCTGTCATTAAAAATCCCCCTTTAACTTTCAATCGTACTTGTGTGATAATATATCTTTCCTCACAAAGAATCTTCAACGTTTCTACCACCTGGTCCTGTTATCACTATGTTCCTTGGGAACTTATATACACAACATTACATTTTCAAGGCTCAATGTTTTGTTTACCCCCCTCGTGCTCAATAAAACCAATTTCCTGGTCCCCTCAACCGGTTAGGAGTCGTGAGTCGTCACCACTGTACAGAGCACACCATGCTTGCTTCATAATCGTAACTTAGTGCTATTCAATGAATTTACGCTTATAATTGTACAAGGGACTGAACACGAAAAGTCTGTACTAGTTTGATCAAAATTTATATGATCATTAAATGGGTGTTTTGTCCAAATTGCAGAGCACAATAGCAATTAGTTCAGGTACAACTGGTTAGTAAATATAAATGTTGTTTGTCCATTACAGGTTAAGAAGATCATCAAGATAAGTGAGCTACCTGTTGTCACTGACCCCTGCGGTTTCTACACTGTCTCCAGGACCAACCTGTTGGCTGTAAGTGTCTGTTCACTCAGCCCTGTGAGCAGTACATTGTTTTTCATATATATAATATACATATTTGTCTATCTTCAGAAGCACATATCTAAATTACACATGTAAGTGTACGGTTCAGGATCTTAAAAGACTATAATGTACACATATACCTAACCAAACTAATTATTCGTCGAGAATCCCCTACATGGAGAGGTTGAGCTAATACTCCATTTTATACCACAGATGATGAACTTCGTCACTTCCTATCTGGCCATAATTTTGCAGTTCCACTTCGCTAGCAACCCCAACATGGCTAACAACTCCAATATGACAACAAACCGCTGACAACCTCAACATACCTACCAACTGCTGAGGGAATCAATGAGTTTTCTATTTGCATCCTATACCTACAAAAATGAGACTACAATGAGTCGTTTAAATATATGTTTTCTATCTTAGTGGAGTCACTCCTGACAGAAGATATATGGGCTATGTGTTAAGCCTGAAAACGAAATATACAATATTTGGGGTGTTTGTCAGTTTTATACTGGTGTTCAAATCATCGCAAATAAATACAGATTTTTGGAAATTTAGGCGAAATATGTTAGTATCAAAAGTGATCTTTGCACTGACTTCTAATAATACAAATTAATTTAGCTCACATGCGAGAGTGGTCAAGAGTTTCATGTATCGATAAATTTGTCTCCTTCCAACTGGCAAATATATTGCACCTGGATTGACAACAAAGGCATATTCCCAAAGCTGAGATTATATACAGTTGATATATCTCCTGAAACTGAGAGCTATTAGGCTACTTGTGCTTGATGTTATATACTTCAGTGTAATTTTATATTGCAGTATTTACCCTTTGATAGAGTGATAGAACATATACCAAAGTATATGTTCACAGCTACTGCGACACCCAGATGGAGTTTCTCATTATATTCAGCTTGCATACTCTGTAACAAACTATTAAAACATTCACTTGAACACTTCATTGTTGAATACAAAACTGTAAAAGATTTTGGACCTCGTAGCCTATTGTTCAATCAACTCTGTAACTAAATAATTAACTTCTGTATATTGGAACACATCCTGACCACTTATTCAAAATTTCCTTGTCCATATTAAATAAAGGAATTTTTTTTTTTAAATACTTCTATTAGAATCCATCCCTGTCCTGTACATTAAATTCGTAAATTAAAACATATAATATCTGATATAGTGGAGTATAACTTCATGAAATATATATAAGTACTAACTATCAACAATTTAGACCTATTGTCTTATGTATGATTCTCTGTCCTGCGTGACAGTGAATATGAGCAGCATCTTCACTGTCCTGTGTGACAGTGAATATGAGCAGCATCTTCACTGCCCAGTGTGACAGTGAATATGAACATCCTCCTCAGTGCAATAAGACTTAATTGAATTACTCGGATAAGGCAAACTGTACATTAATTTTGTCAATAAAGACTTTAATAAACAATGTCAGCAGACCAACTAAACCACACACACACACACACACATACACACTGAACTGAACAAAAAGGCGTGGAGGAACTTCCGGAATAACAGAACACCAGAAAGCAGAGAGAGATACCAGAGAACCAGGAATGAGTACGTCAGGGTGAGAAGAGAAGCAGAGAAAAATTTTGAAAATGATATAGCAAACAAAGCCAAGACCGAACCAAAGCTACTCCACAGTCACATCAGAAGGAAAACAACAGTGAAAGAACAGGTATTGAAACTTAGAACAGGCGAGGACAGGTATACAGAGAATGACAGAGAGGTGTGTGAGGAACTCAACAAGAGGTTCCAGGAGGTCTTCACAATAGAACAGGGTGAGGTCACTGTGCTAGGAGAAAGGGAGGTAAACCAGGCGGCCTTGGAGGAGTTCGAAATTACGAGAGAGGAGGTCAAGAGACACCTGCTGGATCTGGATGTTAGAAAGGCTGTTGGTCCAGATGGGATCTCACCATGGGTACTGAAAGAGTGTGCAGAGGCACTTTGCCTGCCACTCTCCATAGTGTATAGTAAGTCACTAGAGACGGGAGACCTACCAGAAATATGGAAGACGGCGAATGTGGTCCCAATATACAAAAAGGGCGACAGACAAGAGGCACTGAACTACAGGCCAGTGTCCTTGACTTGTATACCATGCAAGGTGATGGAGAAGATCGTGAGAAAAAACCTGGTAACACATCTGGAGAGAAGGGACTTCGTGACAAATCGCCAACATGGATTCAGGGAGGGTAAATCTTGCCTTACAGGCTTGATAGAATTCTACGATCAGGTGACACAGATTAAGCAAGAAAGAGAGGGCTGGGCGGACTGCATTTTCTTGGATTGTCGGAAAGCCTTTGACACAGTACCGCATAAGAGGCTGGCACATAAGCTGGAGAGACAGGCAGGTGTAGCTGGTAAGGTGCTCCAGTGGATAAGGGAGTATCTAAGCAATAGGAAGCAGAGAGTTACGGTGAGGGGTGAGACCTCCGATTGGCGTGAAGTCACCAGTGGAGTCCCACAGGGCTCTGTACTCGGTCCTATCTTGTTTCTGATATATGTAAATGATCTCCCGGAGGGTATCGATTCATTTCTCTCAATGTTTGCGGACGATGCTAAAATTATGAGAAGGATTAAAACAGAAGAGGACTGTTTGAGGCTTCAAGAAGACCTAGACAAGCTGAAGGAATGGTCGAACAAATGGTTGTTAGAGTTTAACCCAACCAAATGTAATGTAATGAAGATAGGTGTAGGGAGCAGGAGGCCAGATACAAGGTATCATCTGGGAGAGGAAATTCTTCAGGAGTCAGAGAAGGAAAAAGACTTGGGGGTTGATATCACGCCAGACCTGTCTCCTGCAGCACATATCAAGCGGATAACATCAGCGGCATATGCCAGGCTGGCCAACATACGAACGGCATTCAGAAACTTGTGTAAAGAATCATTCAGAACTTTGTATACCACATATGTCAGGCCAATCCTGGAGTATGCAGCCCCAGCATGGAGTCCATATCTAGTCAAGGATAAGACTAAACTGGAAAAGGTTCAAAGGTTTGCCACCAGACTAGTACCCGAGCTGAGAGGTATGAGCTACGAGGAGAGACTACGGGAATTAAACCTCACTTCGCTGGAAGACAGAAGAGTTAGGGGGGACATGATCACCACATTCAAGATTCTGAAGGGGATTGATAGGGTAGATAAAGACAGTCTATTTAACACAAGGGGAACACGCACAAGGGGACACAGGTGGAAACTGAGCGCCCAAATGAGCCACAGAGATATTAGAAGGAACTTTTTTAGTGTCAGAGTGGTTGACAAATGGAATGCATTAGGAAGTGATGTGGTGGAGGCTGACTCCATACACAGTTTCAAGTGTAGATATGACAGAGCCCGATAGGCTCATGAATCTGTACACCTGTTGATTGACGGTTGAGAGGCGGGACCAAAGAACCAGAGCTCAACCCCCGCAAACACAACTAGGTGAGTACAACTAGGTGAGTACACTCACACTCACACACACACACACAGGAATCTGTACACCTCGTACACCTCGAATCTGGGGGCCTCGTAGCCTGGTGGATAGCGCGCAGGACTCGTAATTCTGTGGCGCGGGTTCGATTCCCGCACGAGGCAGAAACAAATGGGCAAAGTTTCTTTCACCCTAAGTGCCCCTGTTACCTAGCAGTAAATAGGTACCTTGGAGTTAGTCAGCTGTCACGGGCTGCTTCCTGGGGTGTGTGTGTGTGTGTGTGTGTGGTGTGGAAAAAAAAAAAAAAAGTAGTTAGTAAACAGTTGATTGACAGTTGAGAGGCGGGCCGAAAGAGCAAAGCTCAACCCCCGTAAAAACACAACTAGTAAACCTGTTGATTGACGGTTGAGAGGCGGGACCAAAGAGCCAGAGCTCAACCCCCGCAAACACAACTAGGTGAGTACACACACACACACACACACACACACACACACACATATACACACACACACACACCGGACGACTAGGCTTCGTATACTTGTTCACATCAAACATTTCGCAACCAGATTTA